CCCCAAAACCCCAAAACCCCAAAACCCCAAAACCCCAAAACCCCAATTAAGCTAAGTTTGTGTGTAAAAATAAAACTAATAAAATAATGAAATCCCACAACTCATTCATCGAGAGCAGTCTTGACGAGATCAAGATTAACAGTAACATGGATATCCGCCTTGACAAGCTCAAACAGATTGGTAACTGTAATAGTAGAATATGTAGGCACTACAATCATGAGAGAAAGCCAGAAATAAATAATACGACTAAGATCAACATCTGATCATCCCCTGAGGCGATCATTAAGGTATGTAGCCTACTAAGAGCCTTTGTGACACAGCACAGATTTCATTTTGATTTAGGCTCTCAAAAATGGATATCAGCTTAATACAACCTATAAGTCAAAGCCTAGCTTGCTAAGCAAGCAGGCTTTGAAGAAGATCTTGTAAGTATTTTTCAACTGATTTCTCCTTTAGTCGCAATGCTAAAATAAAATAAGAAGCAGTTACTCCTAGGATCTTTTAGAAGCAGGTGCAAGCCAGATAATCGAGCTAAAGAGGCTTACTGCTTTGTGACAGAAAATTCTATGATCCAAAACAGACAACAAAAATGACAAACCGTTCTGAAGTTGGTGGTCAAGTTATCTTTAGAACTAAAAGGAGGTTTATAAATATTCACAGAAGTGATCAAGGAACTCCAGGTACGACCAGGATTTTGATCAACTTTCTGCTGCTGATACCTTTTCGGTATACTAAATGTCAATTCTTATTTATTCATTAAATAGAAAGAGACAGCAGACCATGAGACCTTATCTCACTAGATATCCCGAGCGGTAATCGGCTGACTGGTCGTCAAAGTAGACAAGAGGTCCACCGCTTAAGGTAAAGTCTGTTTTGAAATCTCTGAATTTCTCTAGAATGAATAATTCAATGAATTCAAGCTACAAAGCAAGGTAATATTTTATACTCAAATTCCCGAAGAAGTTTACCTTAGTCATATCAGCAAGTACAAGACCAGATCTATGAACCTGTCTAAAAAGTCTCTTGAGATTCAGTCAAAGTGCTCTTCAGCACTTGGGATAAAGAAGATCTCAAAGAAGTATTTGCTCTTAACCCTGTAGGTTTGAAAACTTTTGAGCGTACCACAGTAAGCTTATGCTAACCACCAGATAACCCGGTGTTGGTTGATGAAAACCAGATAGAATCTGAGAAGAGCAACTATTCTTTGTTTATGTCTCCTCCAGCCCTGAAGGAGTTCAAGAATATCAAAAGGAAACATGGTAACTATATGTCCTTATTTACAGCTCTATTTCTGATCAGGCTGGGCAAGAAGCCCATCTGGATGCCACAGAAGTTCAAATTGACTAAACTCTCTAAACTCCATATATAACAAAAAAGGTTCAATAATTACCAACAAAAATGGGGTTTTGGGGTTTTGGGGTTTTGGGGTTTTGGGG